TTGCACCACAGTACAAAGCTCAAATGACTTAGCCAGCTCAAAACAGAGTTAAAATTAGTCAAAACAGTAGCAAAAACATGCTAAGATCAAGTTACAAAATGCTAGAAAAACAGGCTCACATGTAGGGCAACTAGGCATGCAACAAGGCAAGAAGGAGGGCAGGCTAACCCCTCCAATTTTGGATCTCAAAACAAAGTTTTTTTCATTGAAATAACTCTGATTTTCAGTGGCTAAAAGGCCTAAAAAGTTTGATTTGAATGTGAGAAAAGATGGCACAAAATGCTTCACAAGCAAAAAGACAAGAAGGGTAGACCACCCCCTAACTCCAAAAGGCCTTAAACCATCATTTTTGAACCATAAAAACAGAGTTTTTTTGGAGTTCAAAACTAGCTCAAAAATAGTGTAAAAAGATGGCAAAACAAGTATGAAAATTAAGCTTAAGTGAGGTAAATGCAATACCTTTAAGCAAAACGCAATTCAGCCACAAACCCAAGCTCAAATCCCCTTCCAAGGCTCAAACAAAGCTCTAAGAGACCTCAGCCCAAAGGTAAGAGTGTTTGGCTAAGGATTGATATGCATAAGTGTAGAGAAAACTAACTACAAGGCACAAAATAAGAAGAGAGATAGAAAATTCTAGAGAGAAAGAGAGAGAGAATTTTGATCCAAAATTTTCTAACCTCTCTAAATAGGGGAGAGCACCCCCTATATATATAGAAAACCAAGCCTTAAGCTTTAAATCATCCTACCATACACGTGTATGGAGATGCACTTCAGTGAGCAACAGCTGGCACAGCTAGCAAACAAATATCTGAAAAAGGAAAAAAATAGCCGTCGGCCACCACTGGTAGCCGACCGGCCACCAATGTGGCCGATCGACCATCAACATAACCGACCGGCCACCACTGATGGCTGACAGGCAAAAGTGATGGCCAATAGGCTGTGGGGCTGGCCGACAAGCCACCCTCTCCTCCAGACTTGAAACAACAAGCTCTTGGTCTATAACCAAGCACAAAACAGCAAGGTTCAATGGCTTCAAAAACAAGGCACTCGACCAAGAACTTCAGGCACTCAAGGCGAACACGAGCATACAAAATCATTGAGTGTTCAAATGATGACGTCTAAGTCTTGAGGACGGTCAAAAATGGGGTGTCTACAGCCACCTGTCGGCCACACCTGAAGGTTGTCGGCCATCGATTGCAATTCGGGCTATTTTGCTCTTTTTGCATTCGGTTCTTTAAGTATAGGCACCCAAACATCATTTTCTCACTTCTCCCTAGCCGAAATTCATCCCTCTCTCACTCTAGACCATTCTTCTCTTTAGATCTAAGCTTTACACACGTTTTCCAACGTCCCACGCTAAGTTAATTCGCTAGAACCTCTTGATTTCCTTCGTTTTGAACTGATTAAAAATTGATTTCAGTGTTTTTTTCTTCATTTTCACCACTTGAGGCTTTTTTCCCTCAAGTTACTCTTGGGTTCTGTGCCTTTTCCTGGACTTTGACTTTTTCTTCCCTTTTCCCCCTCCTAGGGTTGACTTTTGTTGACTTTTATGCAACCTTAACTACACATCACGCTGGAAAGGCAAAGAAACAACACAAGCGTCAAGTGCACCCGAGGCATCAAACAAGATTCTAATGCATCGTATGTGGAAGGAGAGAAGGGTGTGAACACAGGAACACACCCGAATGTTCTAAATTGAAGACGTCTTAACGCGTTGCACGCGAGAAGAGAAAAAGGGTGGTGTAAACACCGGGCGTACCCGAATATTTCTAACGAAAAGCATCCTAACGCGTCGCACACGAGAGGAGAAAGGGGGTGGTGTAAACACCAGGCGTACTCGAATGTTTCTAACAAAAAGCATCCTAACGCGTTGCACGTGAAAGGAGAAAGGGGGTGGTGTAAACATCGGGTGTACCCAAATGTTTCTAACCAAAAGCATCCTAACGCGTTGCACGTGAAAGGAGAAAGGGGGTGGTGTAAACACCGGGTGTACCCGAATGTTTCTAACCAAAAACAGCCTAACGTGTCGCACGCGAGAGGTGAAAGGGGGTGGTGTAAACACCGGGTGTACCTGAATGTTTCTAACCAAAAGCATCCTAACATGTCGTATGCAAAAAGAGAAAGGGGGTGTTGTAAACACCGAGCGTACCTGAATATTTCTAACCAAAAGCATCCTAACGTGTTGCACACGAAAGGAAAAGAGGGGTGGTGTAAACATCGGGCATACCCGAATGTTTCTAACCAAAATCATCCTAACGCGTTGCACTTGAGAGGAGAAAGAGGGTGGTATAAACACCGGGCATACCCGAATGTTTCTAACCAAAAGCATCCTAACACGTCGTACGCAAGAGGAGAAGAGGGGTGGTGTAAACACCGGGCGTACCCAAATGTTTCTAACCAAAAGCATCCTAACGCATCGCACGTAAAAGGAGAAGAGGGATGGTGTAAACACCGGGCGTACCCGAATGTTTCTAACCAAAAGCAGGGTGTAAATCAGAGGACCAAGATGATCTCACCTGGAATTCCTCTAAATGAACCGTATATATAATATCGTGCCTGGTTTCACTAGATTTGAATGAACCGTACATATAATATCGTGCCTGCATAAGAAAGAAACTCAACTAGCATAATAGAGCAAGAGTGCATGTTCTATGCAAGACGAATAACGATGACACAACGTTAAGGACATGTTTCATGCACAACATGCAAGGAACAAAACAGAAGCATATTCTATGAAACGAAAACCGGAGCATGTTCTATGCAACACCAAATGCATATTCCATGCATTAATAGCAAACACATGTTCTATGCAACAGGTATGAACATTTGCTACGTGAATGTAAGAGCATGTACGATACAATACACTGCAACATGCATATTCTATGCAAAATAACAACAATGCGTATCTCATGCAAAGCATGTTACACACTGAAGTACAAAATGCATGTTTAATGCACAATTAAAAGCACGCTCTATGCTAAAGTACAAAATGCATGACGCACGCCTTACATATGCAATGAAAATGTTCTAATGTGACAGGTTCAAAAAAGCAACTCCCCGATCTACCTCTCAGAAGGGTTGGAATATACAAAAAGGATACAAAAAGGATACACTTCATCCAATCAGAGGCAAATGATGATCACCAAGAACACAGTTTCAAGCCTCAACAAAGAGGATTCGAGCTTGACAGTAATTTCTCCTTGCACTTCTCGGGAAACAGGGACCAACACAGTAGGAAAACACCAAAATAAGAGCACTAGGAATTGAAAGGCCACCAGGGAGGGGTGCCGGCCACCCATCGGCCACAAATTGGTCTTGTCGGCCACCAGTGGTGGCCAATTGGCCACCAATGGTGGCTGTTGGCCACCGATGGTAAATTCGAGGCAGAATGGGTATTTCACCTCGGGTCTTTAAATGTACACACCTATGCTTCATTTCCCCACAACCTCTAGTCCGAAAATCTCTCCTCCTCCTCTCTAGACCTTCTTCCTCTTTAGATTCGGGCATTATTCTCATTTTCTAACACCCCATAAACATTTTCTTCGCTAAACCCTCGTAGTCTACACCGTTTTGAACCGATTGAAAGTCGATTTCGGTGATTCTTTCTTCATTTTCACCACTTGAGGTTCATTTCCCTTGAGTTTCTCTTGGATTCAGTGCCTTTTCCCAGGCTTTGACTTTTTCTCCCATTTTCTCTCTAAGAGTTGATGTTTGTTGACTTTTGGCATTCTTCATCCATTTTCTCCATTTTCAACCATTTTCTCATATTCTTTCGTGATGGCGGACGATATCCCATGTGACAGAGCTTTTCTGGAGATGGAGGTGGATCCAGAGCTTGAGCCATTATTACTCAGTGTTCGACCTTTTGACCTGGCAACGTATCATCCTGAGATACACGTGGTACCACCCGATAGCATTCGTCAGTTTAGAGGGTTTGCACGAGGCGCACCAGAGGACCTTTTACTGCGCGAGTCGGAGTCTTATTTGTCTTATGGCGCCTCCAAGGTATATACTATATTCTCACATTTTCCAAATGTACCTTACATTGCTTGCTTAAATCACACTCTTGCACTGTATTACTTACATTGCCTTTTATCTGCTTGTCCTGATCACAGGGGGATTCACACACCATTAGAGGATACAGGACCACCACCGCGAGGGAGTGGTACATGGAGCTCCCCGACGATGTTTGCTACCTCATTGATGAGGCCGGCTTTTGCTCGTTCTGCATGGGACTCTCACGCCTCATAGCGAGTAGGCCTTTACTGGGTGCCTTGTTAAAGAGGTGGTGGGATACTACCGACTCCTTTCACTTCTCTACCACAGGGGAGATGACGATGACTCCCTTCGACTTCTCTATGCTCACTGGCATAGAGGTGGGGGGTCATCCGATTCCTTACGATACTGATATGGGCAAGTGGGAGGCTGCTTGGATTTATCTGCTGGGGGCACCTCCACCTATCTCTCAATCATGGATGGTCCGTTACATCTGGTTTGCACATCATTTCAGAGGGATAACACCAACGACCCGAGAGGAGACAGAGCAATATGCCCGAGGTTTCCTGATGTTCCTCTTTGGCACTACCTTGTTTGCCAACTGGGCAAACACTGTCGGGCCTTATGAGCGCCTTGGTGGACTTGTCCCGTGTCCGATTCTACGACTGGGGCTGCTCGGGCCTGGCCACCTTATACGGATACATGAGCTCGACCTCCTGCAGGAGTGGACAATTGATTGGAGGCTACTGGAGGGCCTGGGAGATATGCTTTACTTTTCTGTTTTGCATTTCTTATCGTGCTTTCTTCTTTGCACTTTCTGTACATTGCCCATATTGTACACTGCACACACATTCTGCTTTCTACATCTTCTCTATATTCTATATTCTCTGCACATTACATTTGTTGGATATGGCACACATACAGTCTGCTTTCTACTTTGTTTGTATTTATCTATTGTACACTCACTGTTGCCCTTTTGCTTTCCGTAGCTATGGGTGTGCGCCTATTTTCTGACACTTGCCCTAGAGCTGGAGGTAGAGATGCCTCCTTTCGTACCATACTCTCACCGGGGTATGACAGGAGATGCCAGCGGAGGACCCAGGAGTCCTTCCCATTCTTCCGTCGATACTTCGACACTGTGACCGCGGCTAAGGTAACTCAAGATTCACTGTTATTTCCATTTTCCCTTGATTCTGATTCGTATCGCAATATCTGATGACAATTAACAATCTGTGCACTCTCTATTTACAAATCACTTGGCGGCCCTGGGCGATGATGCCTGAGGGAGTTAGGGATCAGTTTGCTGGTGCTCGAGAGGCTTCTTGCTTCCGGCTCCTACTCGAGGGCCCAGTTTGTCGGTTATGGTTCTTAGGGGAGCGGTTTTTATGCCAGACCATCGGCTTGCCCTAGCCGGTAGTTCCCATGCCACGTCTGACATATATAAGAGCCCTAGAGAAATTCACTTTTCAAGAGATGATTGATTTCACCAGGGGCTGGGACGCTGACTTTTTCTAAGTCGAGGGTGATTACACAGCCTTCATTCAGACATACCTCATGCCACCTCTGACTAGTGCCCGTGGAAGTGAGAGAGCGAGGGCTCCAGCTGCGAGAGAGAGAGACAGAGGGGATAGGGCGACCAGGACTCGTAGCAGGAGAGAATCTCGGACGAGACAGAGGACAGGGTGGCCAGAGCTGCCTACTACACTCACTTGTTAGCGGTATACCGGGGAGGCTTACCAGATCCCTATTGAGCCTGCACCAGCTGGGCATGAGCTTGTCGGGGTTCGAGGCCCGACTCTAGTACGTACCGTACTTTACATTTTGCATGTTCAATTCATTTCAGTTATGCTTATAGAACACTGATCCTCTCAACGCACTTGCAGGCACCTATAGAGTACATCGGCCAGGCTCTCGAGCTAGCGGCTTCCATGATGGAGATGGTGTAGAGAAGCATGCATCTGCTCAACCTCTACAGGATTCCGGTAATTTCCTTCAGTTCGCACTTCATGTCATGAAACTTTCTGCCAATACATTAGCATTTCAACTGTAATCTATCCTGCACTGCACCGATCTAATACACTGCATTCAAACACTGAATTCATTCACTACATTCTGCATATCATCTTTGCATCTGATATAGACCGCGACTGATGTATTTGACAAACTGCCCTTTTCAGATCCCAGCCACACCGGACGCTCCAGCGGGAGCTGCAACAGGACCATCAGAGCCTCCTCCGACAGTAGGAATAGAGAGACGGGAGGCTCCAGCACGCAGTCGAGGGAGAGCGAGGGGCACCTGTGACGAGAGTGGCCCTTCAGAGCCCGCCCGAGACGACGACGATGATGAGACGGGCGAGGACGATGAGGCAGCGAGTCCACAGTCAGAGTCATCTGAGGATGGAGACGACAACGCTGGCTCAGATTCTGAGGGCGGAGATGATACTGAGGCAGGTTCAGCGGGGGCCTCTGACAGTGGGGCCGATGGAGATAGCTCTAGGTCCGTGCCCAGGAAGAGGACGAAGAGGGCCTCTCAATCCTGAGGTGGCTGGCGCTGATTCATATGTTCTTGCTTAGCTTTTTTTTGTTAGTAGTGTTAGCACATTGTACAGTTTTATTTTCTTAAAAAAGACTTGTACTTTTTGTAAAACGAAACCATGATTGGAATGAAAATTAGCTTTGGAAAAGTGTTGTATTTTGCATCCTGAGCATCGCATCGCATTGCATCGCACCATATTGCACAAAAACAAGATTAATGGAAACTGAATACCATACGTTGCATTGGCAATTTCTTAATCAGGTAATGAATCGACCAACACATAACAAACGGAGTAAAACAACTCAACAAACAACTAACAATAACAACTCAATAAACAATGCAACAACTCGATAAGCAATATAACAACTCGATAAACAAATTGAAACAACACAAAAGCGACTCAACAAAACTACTAAAACAAGACAGCACAATGCACCCAAAGCAGAACAAAACATAGGTTCTTAGCACTCTCAAAACATAGATGGACCAGAGGACAAACCAGGAGACCATCAGCCATAAACAAAGGTTATCGGCCACAAGTGGTGGCTGTCGGCCACTAATGATGGCCTGTCGGCTACAAAAGGTGGCCGGTCGGCTACCAGCACTAGCCGATCGGCCATCAATGCAAAAGACCTCCAGACTGTTGCCACCTTTCTTCCACTCAATGCCTTATCTTCTACAAAAGTTGGGACTTCGCATTTTTTTTCATTCCAGCTTTGTTTTTGTCACAAATGGAGCCATTCTTCACTGAAAAACTCTCAAATTGGATTGTAACTTTAGATGGCTCGGCAAAAGTGAATTTTCGGGGTTTCGGGATAAATGCACTATTCCCGTTAAGTCGTACCCCACTGTGTCTTCTGTTTCTACATGTCGCGGCTAGGTGTTGGAACCCGGTTACACATGTGTTCAGCTTCAGGGGGCAAGAGATATGCCCTACAATTGAAGAATTCCAAGTTCTGATAGAATCCCGGATTGCCCAGTCCCGTTTTGGTCATATCCAAGCTTTAGGAAAGATGTGTGGACTCACTCTACATGTTGCTCGCTCCTCGGTTCACAGCGGATAGCTAGATATCCCCAGTTTGATTATCGATTTTCTGACGCCGGTGACCGCAACGACTATCTTTGGCAGAGTTTTTGGCATCATGCCCTCTGTTTGTGTACGTTGGCTCATTTTCTCCTTGCCCCCGATTTCGGAGGGTCAAGCATTCGACTGATTGAAGTGGACCAAGGCTTGAAAGAGGGTAAGAGCTGTATTGGCTTAACACTAGCCGAGACTTTGATGGGCTTGGATGCCTTCCATCGACAAGAGACAAACAAATTCGCAGGAAGTCCACTACTTTTGCAGGTAATGTTTCCTACGCTATCTCACATATGTTTCTCACATCACTCGACATTCATGCTCTATTTTTCTCTAAAAACCCTTTCACACTTTTTTTTCTCCACATACACCTCTTTATTCTTTAATCTCTCTTATTTTTCATCCCTCCCCAGATATGGCTTATGGATAGGTTGAAGGTAGTGGACTCTTGCCCAGCATATTCAGCACGAGGCTATTTCTTTCGCCAACAGCTAGTTGATTTTCCGAGCGAGGGGTGGTGGTGCCATTGGATGATCAACAGGTCTGCAGCTGATATTACTTGGCGTTGCCCCTGGTTTGATCTGCCCGAGATAAGCTACAGCATATCTTGGCAACTTGGCAACTTGGAATTTAGTTGATTGGCCTGACACACTGTGTATTCTATTTTCCATTTTGGTTCAAGCGTCAGTTTGGACACGACCAGATTTGCCCAGAAGAAAGAGTAGAGTACCCGACTTCATTTCTAATCCGAGGTTCACAACTAGCTCGGTATCCCACTACATGGAGAACAAGAGAACTTCTGGCTCCCGCTCCCAATTTCAGTTGCGCCTTATCTAGCGAATGCATAGCTTGGCTTGAAGAAGCGGCACAAATCGGGCCTACTCTAGCATCCGAAACTTCCACAAGCTCAGGAAGGGGACACAGGAACACCTGATTTATTTATGCCCCAAGTTTATTGCTTTGATCTGTACTTTTAAGTTTTCCTTTTGAATGTAATAAAAAGCAACTTTGATTTGTATCAAAAGGTAGAGAACTCTGTATTGAAATCAATGAAATTAGAGTTATGGGTACTGAAAATTTCCCTTATGGTCTAAGTTGTAAAAAGATTAATTTCAACAAAATCAACTTTTATTAAAAACTTTCAAAACCATTTTCGATAAGGATCACAACTTGACACACATGGAATCTATTCTCGAGATGTACAACCCTGAATCCAATAACTGCAAAGTTGCCCCTTGTATGAATAGCACTGCACTGCATTGTAACCAGCTCTCATAGTGAAGATCACAACCAAACTCTCAGATAACGAGCTGACAAAGATGCCTTGATCAAACAACATGGACACAGTTGATTTGGAAGTGTTTATGGCTGGACTTCAAAATGAAGTTGCCTACGTATCCCGAAGATAGGAATCAAGCCTTACGTAGTTCGGTTAGGGTTCATTCGGGTATTAACACTCTCCTTTTGCGCTCTAACTTTTGCCAAGGCCGCCCTTTCTGGGTTTTCAACCTTGCGAACTCAGTTTTTCTTTTTTCTAATTTTTTGTGTTCTAACTTTTGCCTAGGTCACCCTTCTAGGTTTTCGGCCTAGCGAGCCTCTCAAGGATAGTATTTCTTTAACTTGTCCATATTGATTGACTGGGAGAATTCGAGGCCATCTAGGTCCATAAGAATAACAGCTCCGCCCGACCAGATTGACTTGATAATGTAAGGACCAGTCCAATTAGGTCTGAACTTGCCCCTAGGGTCATAGATGGGAGCTCGGTTGTCTTTGAGCACCAAATCCCCTTTCTTCAGATTCTTAGACTTAACTTTCTTGTTGAAAGCCCTGGCAATCCTACGTTGATAACCTTGGACGTGATATAGTGCTTTCAGCCTCCTCTCATCGAACAACATTAGTTCCTCGAACCTGCTCTGTAACCAATCCGCTTCTGCTATCTGGCACTTAGCCATAACTCGCAGTGACGGAACCTCAACTTCGATCGGTAGAACAACCTCCATCCCACAAACCAGAGAATATGGAGTTACCCCAATAGATGTCCGAATTGATGTTCTATAACACCAGAGAGCAAATGGCAGTTTATCTGGCCAGTCGTTGTAAGTCTCAACCATTTTCTACAAAATATGTTTGATGTTCTTGTTGGCAGCCTCAACAATTCTGTTGGTTTGTGGCCGATATGTGGATGACTTATGAAAAACGACGTTGTATTTCTCCAACAAGTCAATCACCTCTTTCTTGAAATGTGAGCCATTGTCTGAAATGATTTCATTCGGGACCCCATAGCGACAAATAATGTTATTCATGATGAACTTGGCTACATGCGACGTCTTTAGCACTACATAAGATTGGGCCTTGACTCACTTTGTAAAATAGTCTATAGCCACCAGGATATACTCATGTCCATTCGAGCCTTTTGGCGTAACTACCCCAATAACATCAATTCCCCAGACTGAAAAAGGCCACGGTGAAGTCATGTTGCATAGCTTCGACGGCGGGATATTCATGCGATTTGCATGAATTTGGCATTTGTGGCATCGCCGAACAAAACCAATACAATCGTCCTCCATGGTTGACTAGTAATAACTCTGCCTGAGAATCTTCCGAGCTAGCATTACTCCACTCATGTGCGATCCGCACTCCCCTCTGTAGATGGCCTCCATTAGGCGCTTCGATTCTTTTGCATCAACACACAGTTTATGCATTCCCAGATGGCCTCGTTTGTACAACTTACCCCTCCAGATGATAAACTGAGTAGCCATTCGCCGTATTGCCCTTATCTTTGGCATTTGTCCCTAGTGGATGAGCCTCCTTTTCCAAGAAGTTCCAGATATCGTGATACTAGGGATTCCGATCTTGTACTTCATCTATTGCGGTAATCAACTCATAGGCCGACGCATACCTCTGTTCAATAATGATCGGACACATCTGGACTCCCAGAAGGATGTCTATCATAGAAGATAGAGTTAATAAGGCATCAGCAAACCTGTTGTTCTCTCTTAATAGATGCGTGAAAGTTAACTTCTCAAACCTAGGAATCAGAACATCTAGGGTTTGGTGATAGATTTTCATCCTTTCTTCCATAACCTTCCAGTCTCCTTTTGCTTGAGACACAACCAGGTTTGAGTCCGTAATAACGTCTAACCGTTTTGCCCCTAGTTCTAGGGTGATTTGCAAGCTAGCGATACGTGCCTCGTATTCTGCTTCGTTGTTGGATACTTTGAACCGGAATTTGAAGGCTAAAGGTATATGGGAATTGTCGGGTGCTATCAGTAACACCCCTATCCCATAACCATACTAGCTAGATGTTTCGTCAAAGTACATGCTCCAAATCTCTTCCTCAACCTGTAGAATAGCCTCATCTAGGAACAAATACTCTACTGCTTCATCTCTCTATACTGGGTGATCAGCCAGGAACTCAGCTACCGTTCTTCTCTTGATAGACTCGCGAGTCATATACTTCAAATCAAATTCGGAGAGAAGAAGCAACCAACGGGCTAGCCAACCCGTAAGTACTAGTTTCTCGAAGAGATATTTGATGAGATCTAATCTCGAAACCAGAATTACGGAGTGAGCTAACAGGTAGTGCCTCAACTTTCTGGTAGCCCATACCAAGGCCAAGCAAGCCTTCTTCAGCAGAGTATAACGGGTCTCATAGTCCAACATCTTCTTGCTCAGGTAATAAATGGCTTTCTCCACTTTATGCTCTGATTCCTGTGCAAGCATGCAGCCCATAGTCGTGTCGGTTACTGACAGATACAAAATCAACGGCTTTCAGGTTTGAGTCCGTAATAACGTCTAACCGTTTTGCCCCTAGTTCTAGGGTGATTTGCAAGCTAGCGATACGTGCCTCGTATTCTGCTTCGTTGTTGGATACTTTGAACCGGAATTTGAAGGTCAGTAACACCTGGGAATTGTCGGGTGCTATCAGTAACACCCCTATCCCATAACCATACTAGCTAGATGTTTCGTCAAAGT